TTTGTTTGTAAAAGATAAAAATAAAAAACCAAAAACTTGGTTATTTGAATTTTTCACATAAATTTTGAGGTTATGTGAAAAAAGTGTAAATACAAAAGTTGTAGATCTTTTTATTACCTACAACTTTGTTATTTAACTTTTTTCCATAAGACTTGTAGTTTTTCCGGAAATCAAGATAAACCGTTTTTTACCCTTAAAAACTCACCCCCTTCTCGACCTCAGATCGCCCGTAAATTATTTTTCCTTTCATTTCTGTTATATTCTCTTTTCCAATGGGTTTCATCCTACTATAATTTTTTTTGGTTTCAAAAATTATCGACCCTGGTCTAGTATGCATATGTTGAATTATAAACTTTTTATTGGTTTTCAAATGATCTATGATATATTGCAACTTTTCAGCCACCCAAAAAACCTTTATGAAAGCACTGCATTGCATTATCATTAAAATACTCAAATCAGTTCACAAGTGCTCCAAAATATACAAAGATAATGGTAAATTTACCCGCTCCGAAAATTTTACCGGAAAAATGCGATTAATTTTTTTACCATAAGTAACTTTTATAATTTTAAAGTTATAAATTTCTCTCAAAAAACCACTTTGTAGGGAATTTAAAGCATTTTAAGTTCTGTGATTTGCAGTTTTTTGAGTCCTTCGTTTTTTAGATTTGTAAGCTAAGAGGGCTCAGGAAAGGCAGTCTTGGAGCTTAGTTTTGACCTTCTAACGGTCATAACTCAGTTAAATATTGTCCTACAAAAATTTAAAAAAAGCAAATTGTTCAGTAAGAAAAAACCTACAATTTCTCATTCTATCATTTTTTTTATAACTTTGTTAGTTTTTAAAATATTTTGAAAAGGGCAATTTTTTAAAAATTTTAAAATTTTATTCAAAAGTAAATGAAATATTTTTTTAAATGTAGGCTTTCAAACTCCCAAAATCTACTGTTAATATAATAAATAAAGTAAATTGCAAAAGCAATACGTTTAATTTTTTTTTCCGTCAGGGCATTAATTTTAATACCGAATTTTTTCTCTCAAAAATCAAGACAATCATTTTATTTTGATTGTAACTTCATTAGTTTTCATGCTAACGACTTTTACCACCACTCAATTTAAAGGTCTTTTCAAGAACTTTAATAAGTGTTATATAAGTTTTCTTGGAAGAACCATTAATTTTTCGTCTACAAGACATTGAACGTTTCGATTATAGCCATATTCGAAATTGACTTCAATTTCTGGGAGTCATAACTCGGGTTCCATACCACCTATAAAAATTAAAAAAGCAATATCTTTGCTATTTAATTACGTTCATTTTTGTTTATGATCATTTTTTTTGATAAAACTTGTAGTTTTTGAGATATTCGCGAAAATGGCTCAAAAACATTCATTTTTTGGGCTAAAAACGAACATGTTTAGGCGCAAATAACTCAAAAAGTATTGACTGTACAAAAAATTCTTATAGAACATTTTTTAAAATTAGAATTCGCCCCTCTATCGAATCGTTAGGTTATTTTTAATAAAAAAAATTCCCACCCACCCGAAGGGGTGGCAACCACCCCTAGGGTAAAAGCACACATCGGCACTATATAACTTTTGTTTCTTGGGCTATTCAAATTTCACGTCAATCGATTCCATCCGAAAAAATTGGTAGCTAGAATGCTTCAGTGACTGGACTATAACTCTAAAATATTAAACAACTCAGTTATGATTTACAATTTTTTATCTCAACGAAAAATCCTTTTATCGCTTTTTATTACTGTTGCGAGTCGGTTTATTTCATCTTGCTATTTTAACTTCGCACTATTGCTTCAGCGACATTTGTATGAGCAACCAGTGATCATCAAAATGTTGTAATAGTAGGTAAGGTACTCAAAACGTTAATTCAGTTTGGTAATTTGATTATACAAGCAAAAAAATAAGTTTTTGAAACACTAGACATTGCGATTCACGCTTATGATTTAAAATTTTTACTGTATTATCGGACATTATTTGCAGTAGATATATTAAGAGGTCAGGTAACACAGCAGAAGTAAATTATACGGATACTAACCGTAGACGTAGTGTAAATGAATTCTTAAAATGACTTGCTGGGGCAGTATGCTGCCCCTACTGGGTATACCCAGAAGATTATTAGAAGATAACAAAGTAAAAAAAGTTACTATAGTCCACAGTACAGGCCTCCTCTGGAAAGTTGATTATCACATACTTTGTAACACCTGAAGAGCTTTGTTTTGACGAGTCTACCACATTTTTCCTCTGCGACTTTTCTCGATTCCTCCGCTTTTCCACTCGGAAAAGTCNATTGAAAGTGTCGATATTGCAGCGACTTAAATTTATGCCAGATCCAGTGCTGTCAGTTATCGTACCTTTTAGTTTTGGGTGTTCAATGAGGCTGCTGCTGTAATTGTTTAAGTTCATTAATACACACTAATACATTTAAAAAATTTGAAGTTTATGTTATAACTTGAAAACGAAAATGCACGCGAACAATTTGATCACACTGTCTTAATAACATTGCAAATACCTGAAACTTTGTAGTTTATTTTTCTTTTTTCGTAAAATAAACAGCAACGGAGCTATACGCATCTGGGGGAATTGGCGAATTCGGATTTTTCCTAACTATGTGATGTGACATATTTATTTCATATACATTTATACAGAATGTTAAATTCCTGACAGAAAACATTCAATGAAGGCAGTCCACTTTGACCATTTCGCAGAATCTCGGAGATCTTAACAGTTTGACGATGGAAACCCACTAGCGCTTGCGCATCCTTTAGAGAACACCCTGTATACACGACCGTCCTTTCGAAGAACAACCATTTATCAGAATTAACGCTAGTGATAACTAATAAATGAATAAACCCATTGTAATTTTAAAACGAAGCAATTAAGATATTTCGTACCTCACACGGTTATTTACTGAGGCCGCATAAGAAAGAGAGACTGTTTCACAAGATTGTCATCCTTGCGGAAAATTCCCACGTCCCTATTCCTACCAGTAACCACTTCTTTTTCTTTCAATGTCTAAAGACGATTACAGCTTCCTGAAGCCACCACAAGTAGCTGTACTGTGGTCAATGGTTGTTTTACTGAAAACTAAAATACCAAAATAAATTAATGTCCCAAAAGGAAAATCCCCAAAACAAACAAGAAATTTAATCAGCATGTAAAACATTCCATTTTCAACATTGTGCTTAAAAATAGGTTGTTTGTTTGATAAAATATTTCTTCATACAGTTCATGATTTGCCAATATTTTAACCAACAATTCTTTATCAACAAGGTATTGCGAACGACCCCACGCAAGCGTTTTGGGTAATCAAAAACGCGATAAAACCGCAAAGTTCGTAACCCATTACTTCACTTAAGCGTACCGTAAATGGGATGTTGTCAAATTTCTTAGATGACCACTGGGGTAATATAAATAAAAACATTCGCTTAAAATATAAATAAAAATTGTGTTATAATTAAAAAGTTTGAAGTTTGAACAGGAAAATATCGCAGCTCTCTTGTTCAAGTTAAATTTTTTTATTATTCAGTAAATAATTCATCATAATACAGTATTCATTTTAATTTACCCCATTACAGATCTACTTGTGTCAACGTGGCAACCGCGTAGCCGCAGACTATCAGCATCAGCTGATGTTAACAATTGAACGCACACTGGATCGAGTTCGAATAGAATAATTTGTAGGTTAGTTAGTGCTAGGTGCGCGTCCTTTTGAATTTATTCGAGCATTTAGCCAAATATCAGGCGAATATGGGCTCGAATGGGGAAGATATCGACTACAGCAGTCCCTACGCTAATTACAGGTCACCCCTCAGCACCAGGTATGCCAGCAAGGAGATGCAATATAACTTCAGCGACCAAAAGAAGTTCTCTACCTGGAGAAAGCTGTGGATAAATCTCGCAAAAGCCGAAAAGGTAAGTCGAAATCGAAATGTATTTTTGCACGTGTCTAATTTGATAATAGTTTAACGAAAGCGTAGGATCATACACTTTTACAGTTATTTGGTACCTACAATTTTTTTTTAAATATATTTGCCGCAAGTAGTGAAGACATTTCTGTAAGTAAAATGTTCAAATGATAGGGAAGCTGACGTACATAGTTACAAGACGTATATACTTGATAATACAAATTACAATCTATGTTTTTTAATTTATCTACACTTTGTATAATTTAAATTCGTATTTGTTTAAATTTAAGTACAATTTCAAACAGAATATACCGTTGTCTCCTTATCTTTTAGTACAATGTTCTTAACTAAAAAATAAACAATGCATGAGTGCTTCTTAATAATTTAAACATAAGTTTTATTTGAAAGTTGCAGTGTACATATTTATGTAATTAAAGACAATATTTGTTTCATTTTGAAAACGGTTTAGTTATAATCCTGGTACATCATTGCAAAGATATAATCATATTGAATTGCAAGTTTTTGAGGATAATTAGTTCATTGGTTTCGTAATTACAGACAAAAATACTTTCATCACCCCTTACAATATTTCGTATTAGCAAACATCCTCTACTATTTTTAGAAAGCGCATTTCGAATTGGGGTAACGTATACACTGCTGGTTGCATATATTGTAGTGAATTATTCGTCCTGCGATCAATAATAGTCCAGTTGCTGAAGGCGAAAATAAGGTAAAAGCTCCCAATGATTTCGGATAGCATGGATTTTCCTGAAAATTTGCGTACAAGCTCATGTGACTCCCCACTTCAAAAGTTATATTGTCTAGATGTGTGCCTTTTTTCTATTTGGGGGTGAAAACTACCTTTGTACGAAAAAAATGCGAAAATCGCAGATTTACGTATTTTAAAGATTCAATTCGTGTTCAAATATGTTGGATAAAGTTCCTTTCATGTTTTTTAATATAATTTATGAAATTTAATTACTTTTCAACCCTTAAAAATCCTTAAAAACTACCCTTCCATGGTCAAAAAATTGAAAAAAAAAGTTTTTAACAGTTTAAAATATTCTTTTGGTGCATTAACAATGTATTGCATTTCTTTTGTTATTCATTAGAAAGCTTACGACTCGTTACAAAGTTGCAACCCTTAACAACCATCCCTTATAATAAAATAAACGAACAAATATTATTGAAAGCTTGAGATATTTTAATGGTATAGACCAGTGCTTAAGCCTCCAAAAATGGTAAAAAGTGAAAAAAAATTATAGTATGATGAAACCCATTGGAAAAGGAAAATAATATAACAGAAATGAAAAGAAAAATAATTTACGGGCGATCTGAGGTCGGGAAGGGGAAGGGGGTGAGTTTTTAAGGGTAAAAAACGGTTTATCTTGATTTCCGGAAAAACTACAAGTCTTATGGAAAAAAGTTAAATGGCAAAGTTGTAGGTAATAAAAAGATCTACAACTTTTGTATTTACACTTTTTTCACATAACCTCAAAATTTATGTGAAAAATTCAAATAACCAAGTTTTTGGTTTTTTATTTTTATCTTTTACAAACAAATTNTGAACTATATGTCTATCTCCTCTTGTTTTCGAGATACAGAGAGACAAAATAAAACTTTTTAAATAACATTTTTATGAAAATTTCCAAACGGTGCGAAATATTTTAATGAAATTTGGTAATCCGAGGTTTTTAAGGGTGTCAAATACGTTAGTCCAATTATTTTTTGTATATTTCATAGAGGGCGCTAGTTATGCTACATTCTTATTACATTTTAAGTTCTATTTTTTTAAGGTTAGGTTTTTTACCATTCGGGCCCCAATTTCTATTGTACAATTTTATTTTCTAAAAATAATGTACTTTTGTTACAACTTCCTAATGTGGACGATTTTCGAGAAAAAAGACTTTTAATTAAACTCTTACAATATTACACTATAAAATAAGTGACTTTCCTCAAAGTAAGCTTGAGGAGATAGACATAGTTCATATGACAAAAAATTCTTATTTGTTTGTCGTCCTCACCCCCTGTATTTATGGGAGGTCTTTCCGAAACACCCTGTATTGTATATTTATATGGAATTTTGCTTACTACATGAAAATACCTTATTAGAAATTATAAATATTTTTTATTAAATTTACGAAATTTTTAAAAAACACTTTTCTATTGTGTGTTATTTTTGTCCGACATGTGGTAATCGATTTATCATACCCCGTGAAAATTCCGATTTCCAGCTGTCGGACTGAAAAAACGCGGCTTGAAATTTGTCGGACAACAATACTTTTTGACTGAATTAATTATTTACAATTAATTTTACTAAAAATTACCTATGTGGTAATTGATTTTCAATACCCTGTTATTTTGGCATGTTTCGACCGGTAGACACGTCAATGTCGGAAGAATTTCTGTCGGACAAATTTAAATCGGCATTTGCAACAAAATTTCCAGGTACTTAAGCTAAAAATAAAAGATGTGGTCTTGAGTTTTCAAGACCCCGGGAAATTGCCATGTTTTTGGACTTTTCCGAGTGGAAAAGCGGAGGAATCGAGAAAAGTCGCGGAGGAAAAATGTGGTAGACTCGTCAAAACGAAGTTCCTCAGGAGTTATAAAGTATGTGGTAATCAACTTTCCAGAGGGGGTCCTATACTGTGGACTACTAGGTATAGTAATTTTGTACAGAGATAGTAATTTATTTATATAAATATGAAAAAATTTTTACATATTTGTAAATTAATCTGCCTAGTTTTTCTTCAATGATGTGTAGAATCTTAGTACTCTTTCCCACTGTTTTAGAAAGTTATATTGGAATAAAAATAGTTGTGTTTTATATCGTGGGAAATAGGCAACCAGGAATACAGCTCGATTTACGCCCTGAAATAATACACTACAGTCAGTTACGACTTTATACAGACGTCGTTTATTTGGGCTCAAAAGTGATGGCTCTCTTAATACTGAAATACACGTCAACCGCGTACAACACGGAGTTGAAATAACTGAACACGGACGTGACGAACAGCAACTTCCTTTGGAAAACCAACTCCTCGTTCAACTCCTCGTTGATCTTCTTCGTCAGGGCCTCGTAGAGGATAACGGTGGACGCCGAGAAGTAAAGAATCATACCCAGGATGTTGAAGATCCTGGTGAGGACGTCAGGCATCGCGCAACCCAACAGACAGCTGAGTAAGATGACGCTAGTGATGATGATGAAGCTGCTGAAGACGATGTTGGGGTACATCATGGAGTTGATGGAGTCCCTGAGGAACTTGAGTCCCTCGGTGTAGATGCCCACGCATATGAATCCGGTTATCTGAAAAAAAAGCGGATCGGTTCGGTAGAGTGTAGATTTTTGGGAAGTTGCGGTTTGTAGGCAAAATCAAAGGGAATGTAGAAGTATCCACGAGATAAAAAATACTTGTATGTGAAAAGAATCAGTGAAATAACATCCTTGCTTTTGAGATGCAAAACGTCAAAGGTGGTTCTTTAAAATCAAATTATGGCCAAATAAGGTAGTGAAATTTGGTGCAGGTAAACTTTTGGGAGTACAACACACTTCTTTATACGACGTCAAAATTTCACAGAAAAGTACCCAGTGGTTTCCGAGAAAGGGCTATTTAAATTTTAACGTTAGCGAAAAAAGTACATTTTTTTGCATACACTGAAAAATCTTTCCGTTTCAACCTAAATTCTCCAATTTTAATGACTAATTGACAATTACCCCAGTCAAATTAGAGATTAGAGACGTGAAAAAATTATTAGTAGACATTTTATTTACACTTTCTGACGGATAAGGGTATGTAAAATGATAATATCAAAAAAATAACTCGAAAGAAGTAACACTAAGTTGACAAATTGCAAATAAGTTATGTGTTTTTTCACTTTTTTTTTTTACTACCCACGAAAATCTAGACAACCTATCGGAAAATTAGTTATTTTATGTTGTAGGCAATTAAATTTCTTAGTCATATTTAATCAATTTGTTAACTGTAAAATAAAGGTTGAATGCGGAAAAATTAGTTTTCGAAAATTGCGCTTTATTATTGCATGGTATTTGTTAATTAATTTCGTTCGTTTTTTTTGCAACCAAATGTTTAATTACTAAACGTTTATTTTAGATATTAATCTCGTAGATATAGGTTCTAATTGATCCAAAGATACGTATCGAAAAAGAAAAATTTCAAAAAGTTTAAATTAAGTAGCCCTTTACAACTAACAAAGTAGGCCGTTCAAAACAGCATTATAAACAAATTGTTCCAGGGTCAGGCAAAAGCCCCTCGGCAATTCGCTCTTTTTGCATTAAATAGAGTTTATTTTTACGGTAATTTTAAAATATGAGAATCACCTATGCCTCTTTAGCTCCCAAGTTAGCTGTCTTTATAACGTTAATTGTTAATTAATTATTGTATGTATTGGACTAGGATTTTAAAGACAATTAAAGAAAATGTTAGACTTTTATTTTCAGAAAGTTTTACATTGATAGTTCATGTAACAAACGCGCTAGCAGCAGTAAAAGTTAACGTTAATGAACGGCCTGTATGCGGGAGAAGGAGCCCCGAGCTCGCGCGTGCGCGTGAACGTCGCGCTCGTCGCACGGGAGATTTTTTACTTGAACGTTTCAAATTCGGTTCAAAAATCGGTGGGCGGTAAAAAGTGAAAAAACACCTAAATTTACCACTATTTGCCAACTTAGCATATTTTTTTCGAGTTAGTTCCGATATTATCATAATTTTTTTTAAATTGTTTGGGTTTTCTGATCTAATCGACTGGAGTAAATATGCATAATATGGCGGCAATTTTTCCAATTTTCGCTACTTAGTTTTCGAGATAAACGCAGTCCAAGTTACATAAAACTTCAAAGACCACCGTTTCCAATTCAATTATGAATGCACTATATCCAACATTTATAGTCTTAAAAGGTGTAACGGCGACGACGTCGCATTTTACAAACCGACGCGTCGCTCCTGGCGTCTCCCCCCGCTCGGCCGAGCACTCTGCGAAATTTCTGGCGCTGGTTCTATTTCTGCCGACGCACAACAACTAAACAACAATTTTACGAGATTAACGTCAACACTCACCAGTTGCACCACCTTCAAGACGAACTGCCTGTTCCGCAAATGGGCGAGCGTCACCATCTCGGGCATCTGCGTGGCGGCTGTATTCGGCAGGCTCATGTCGGAGTCCACACTGAAAAACCTCATCAGGGCCATAACGTGGGTCCGGCGGATCTCTTGCTTGGGGTCGCCGCCGGCATTCTCGACCATTTCGCTCATCCGTAAAGAGACTGAAATATGCGCCCGTGCCTCGGTGAGATTGACGTGATCTGTGCTAAACGTCTGTAATCGAGTGTAAATTTCGCTGATGTTTGGATTTAGTGAAATATTTATTTGGAATGGTAACGATAGACCGTTTGTGACGTGACGTTGAAAAATAAGTTCGGATGTTTCGTTTTTGGGGTCAAGTCGGTAAATGCACGGGTTTTTGGCGCACGGGCGTGTCGTCAAGTTGCAAAAGAGGCGCGATTCAAAAAAAAATTAAAATACAGGGTGTTTCATTTTCGGTGTGCCAAACGACCACAGATGATAGACAAAGTAATTTTGAGCAAAAAAGTTCATATCGACATGTGTCCGAAAACGCCCCCCTGTGGCGCTACGCCCCTTTAAAGGGGGATCAAATTCAAATAAAATAAAAACAAATAAAAAAGTTACGAATTTTGAACTTCGGCTTGCCCCTCGTATGGACGCCCCTGAAAACAATGTGTCAATTTGGTTTAAAGAAAGTAATTCCTCGTAATAAATGGTACCTCTGTGTAAAATTTTATCAATATTTCGAAGCATTTTCGAGATATTGTAATAAAATTGTGTGTTAATGGCCCCCTTTAAAGGGGCGTAGCGCCTCAGGGGACGTTTTCGGACATATGTCGATATGAACTTTTTTGTGCAAAATTGCTTTCTCTATCATCTGTGTTCATTTGGCACACCAGAAATGAAACACCCTGTATTTAGTATCTTCTAAGGCTAGGTTTTTTAGGATAGGTACTTACATTGCCAAAACATGACGAAATAATTGAATAGAACTTTTAAACAATTTTTTTATGCATTGACTAATTGACTTTTTGTTGAAAAGGTTAGCTTTAGAGATATTACCAAGGTATACCTTTTTTAAGCAGAAAAGTTGGGGGAACAGATTTTTTCTAGCCCAAAGTGAAATATACCGTGGCACAAAAAAGTTTTGGCAATTTAAATGCTTCCTAATAGTCGCTTGTGGCGCCCTCTCGAAGATATAACGCAATCGTCGATAAATTCGAATGTCATCCCAAAAAACACCGTATACGAAACTTTAAGAAATTATATTAAGTAGTCGAAATATATTAATGAAAATGTTATTTATTTTTTCAACTTTGACACCCCGTTATTATCAATTTTTGGACTAAGGGCAAGTTTAGTGAAGTACAGGGACAAGAATACTATTTCGTTGGAATTTTACATTCTGATACACCTAATACACTATAAAAAACCTAACCTCAAAAAAGTTATATCTTAAAATGTTACTGAAAGAGATAGTAACTATTGCCCTCTAGGAGAAGGTCAAGAACTAACATCATTGACGTATAACATACAAAAATTTCAATCTAATACATTTTTTTTGGAAAAGATTCGACTAAAATCTAATTAATAAAAACATATATCACGCCGTGTATCTCAAAAACAAAATACGATAGATCCATGGTCCATAGGAAAAATCGTCATATTTTTTTTATATTCTATAGTTTCTTCTTTTTTATTATTATTTCTTCTTGTTCTTCTTATTTCCTCTTTTGATATTCTGCTTTCTTCTTTTGATATTCTATACTCGCTTCTGTAACGTCCTGTATGAAATTGAGGTCAGAATGCAAGGTGTATGGAAAAGCAGATAAATTGTATTGACTTGACATTATCTTTCTACAAGGTGTCTGGTAATAAATGGACTATACTTGACAGTACCTCCCTTGGGACAAAATAAATTATTTTGTTAGGTCAACTTTTTGCTTCATTAAAAAGTTTTGGGCCTTTACTGAAACTTTTTTAGCTTTGTATGGTATGTGTTTATTTTTTACCTAAAACATAAAAGCTGCTTAATTTTTTTGTCAAAAAAACTACTGTTTTTGCTAAAAATCACATTTTGATAGAGGTAAGTTGGTCTAAATTGCAAAATAATATTTAATTTAGTTACAAATTTAACATTCTGTCCGTAACTGACAAGTGACAACTGCTGCAAATGAAATACTACCTACTTTTTACAGTAAATAAATCAGTTTTTAAAAAATAACTGTATTTTCACAAGATTTCTACCATCAAAACAAAAAACCAAAGCAAAAAAGCAGGAGATTGTTTAAGGTGTCGTTGGCGATACCTATTTGTTTTGATAAAAAAAATAGGTAACTTTATTTTCAAATTTGGCCATCTGAAAAAACCCTCTGTACTAAATTTGTGATAAAGTTACCTTATAAAAAATCGTTTATTTTCATTCAGAATATACCAAACATTTTTTACCACGAGAAATAGGATTCGTAAGTAATATTACAAATAATTGAAAAGTTTTTATAATTCGAGTGATAGTAAAATTAGTTTAAAGATCCGCCTCTGGTGCTAGGTGCGTGGCTAGAAATCTATTAATACAGTGTTATTATTATATCTCCCACACAAAAGATTAGTTGGAATCCGAAATAATGCTTGTAAAGAAAACTGTGAAGGTAAAATAGCAAGTGCAAATTGGTATTAAATTCTAAATTTGCATTCGTGTCTGCGCATTTTATTTAATACGAATTTAACGAATACGAATATGTAATCAAAGAAGGATGATTTGTAAGAAAATATGTTAAAAAAAATCTTTATTATGAAACAAATTTTATCTTGACAAAAACATTCCTTTTGTTTATGTAAACAAATTTCTCCCTTATATTTACAAAGTAATTCTTCCTAATATTAGAAAAAAAATAAACGAACTTCTTTCATATACAAGTTGTCCTGTTCATACTTAAAAAAAATTGGTGATAAATTGTTAGGTAAAAATAAATTTGAATGCGATTTTTCACTATTTTAAATAATGAATCGAATGGTATAGAAAAAAATTGTTTTAGTTTTATTAAATTATTAAAATTGACAATTACAAAATTTAAATTATGATTTTTTTTTATTAAAAATGAAATAAAATGTTTATATGTATGTTTAATTTTTTTTAAACCTGACAGGCCAACTTTTTTATTTGAAGTCTAGTACTTCCAAATGCAAAGTTGTAGGAAATAACTTGACTAATAAAAATTTACAAATAATGTTTTCCGGTGTTGCCAGATTTCTTCTACTTAAACAATATTTTTTTAAATGGCAACACCATTTTTTTTCATAATTTGATAAATCTCCAAATTCTAAATAAAAAATGTAAAGTCACATTTCTTTATTGAAGTAGTCGTTTTAGAACTATCAGCAAAAACAACGAATTTTTATACACATTCAAATAAACAGCTGTCAAATAACACAATGACAGTACAATGATGATGGATCCTTTCAAACAATGCAATTTTTGTTTAATTTCCAAGATCTACTATTGCAATGTTAGCTTATTTTAGTTGCCGACTACAGATTATTTTCGTTTTTCTTGCTGATTCTTCCAAAATGGCTACTACAATAAAAAAACATGTGACATACGATTTTTTATTTATAATGTGCATATTTGTCAAATTATGTCAAAAAATACAGTGTTGCCATTTAAAAAATATTGTTTTAGTAGCTATTGAAGAAATCTGGCAACACCGGAAAGATTTATTTGCAAAGTTTTCTTAATCAAGTCAACTAACCTAAGTATGCAGGTCTGGTCATATTTTTATTTCCGATACAAAGTTTGTAAATTATGTAAATATTTCACCAGTCCCCTAATAATTCTGATTCCGCCCCCATATCATTTGGACATCTTTATGCCATCGATATAAGGGAATAAAAAAACGCCATAAGAAGTGCGCAAAGCCTGCCCTTGACTATTGGTTTATTGTATCTGTCTTGCATTAGGAATTTGGGAACAACGTACGTCTAAGATACGTACATACGGAAGATAGAATACTGGACATTAATTGACAGCAGTGTTGCCATACGTAAGTAATTACCCTATTTGTACGATATTTTTTTACAAGAATGATAAGATTTTTTGAGACCTTACTAAAGCATTCCAACTTTATTACAAATTATTTATAGCCTTTAGTAAAAACTAAATCGGCATTCTAAAATAAAATGAGTGGTAATTCTTAAGCAAAATAATAAATTATTTTCAAATGCTTATTATTAATTAATCAGGTGTTCAAACAAACCACCAGCTTGAGCTTCACAATAATACCCTAATCTGTCGTAAAATTCTTGACGAACATTTGACAAAATTTTCAGGAGTAACTAAACTGATCCTAAAAGGTTTATAATTTTAAGCCGTAATTCGTCTTTTGCGGCTCTTTCGTGTTGATGTACGTATGAAGATATAAATCGACCAACGACTTCCTCTGCACTTTCTGCAGGACAATACCATTTAATAATATTATTTTTTTGTTCAACACTACACCATTCTTATTTTGTAATATTCCGTCTACTTCTTACCAAAGTTTTGAGTGGAATAATAATAAAAATAAACAAACAGAAAAGTGCTTTAGGTATTCCGTCGGTTCACAAAAAATGCAACGGGACACGTGCGCTCCCACAGCCAACCAGTTACGCGAGTCCGAGTCGCAGCCTCGATGATATATGTCATATCCGACCCCTTCCACCCGAAGTTGATAGGACTTAGTCTATGCGAAAGAATTACCTGGCCAGACCGATATGAAAAATTTAATTAAGTTGACCAAGAACGCGATTTAAAGGCCCATTTAATTGGACGATGCCTACAGGCAAATCATTTTAATTCATAGACATACCGAGAGTTTCTTTTTTTGTTAAGTCCAACTAATTTTCGTTGAACTTGCCACCAGAGAGCTCCCAATTCTTAGAACAGTAATTTTAACTACAGCCATATGTCTATGACTGTAATAAATCATAAGTTAAATTAGATTCAGGTAAAAAGGAAAAATAGTTTATTGGACGTATGTAAATGGTACAAATCAATGCAACATAGAAGGTATGAATCACAGTGTGTTTTATTTAAATGGAATAACTCCAACGAACTAGTACTGTTTATTACAAACTCCGTTTTGCTTCCACTTGATTTGGTTTTTGTGCCTCGAGAACGTAGATCTTCATTTTTTCCTCTTGAAAATATTCCACCATTTCTTTGGTTTCAGTTTCTCCTCATTGCAGCACTTCTCACACCATTCCTGGTTTCCTTTATCGGAATATTCAGGTTCCGATTCTTCCATATGGTATTCGCGAATCTTCGGACCGTATACTACATC